AAAACTTAGTGAAGACATCTTGGAGGTATCTGAAGGCTGCCGACGTATGGAAAGTGTCGCAGGTTTAGACAACGACTCGGCAGCCTTCAGGTACCTTCAAGACGTCTTCCCTAAGCTGTCGTAGACTAAAAAGAGTCAAAACAAAGTTTGAGGGGAAACAATAGCCATTTTCTATACTCTGGAGGCATAAGCACTCAGATCATATCACTTACTACCCAGAAGCAAAGACATTGTGACACTGTAATTTCCTTCTCTTACTTTCTCTCCTCCGACGATGTGTGGTTGAGTTCTCTCAGTCTCCCTGAAGCCCCTCCCTCAGTTCTGGGGCAAGTCTTGTCACGGATTTCTGAACTTTGAATGATTCAGAGGACAGCTTAGTTGAGCTAAGTTGGCTTCTCTGGGCACTGGAGATGAACTGCCAAGAGAAGATAGTTTAGTTCTCCCTCTCTGTCCAGAGATGACAGCTTAGTTCTTCCCCACCGTCCAGAGATGACAGCTTAGTTCTTCCCCACCGTCCAGAGATGACAGCTTAGTTCTTCCCCACCGTCCAGAGATGACAGCTTAGTTCTTCCCCACCGTCCAGAGATGACAGCTTAATTCTTCCCCACCGTCCAGAGATGACAGCTTAGTTCTTCCCCACCGTCCAGAGATGACAGCTTAGTTCTTCCCCACCGTCCAGAGATGACAGCTTAGGCGTTCCTCATACTCTCAAGACCCGAAACTATCATATAAATGATACTATTGCTTCAAGTTTATTTTTTGTCCATTTCCTGCTCTCATAAAAACAAAATACAAATTCCGCCCTCGAGAGGTAACGAGCCAGCTCGGGTTTCTTTGTGAAAATGAGATGGCAGTGTTGGGCGAGGCTTGCCTAGTGTTTATCCCCGAGAGCTACAAGAGAGAAGAAAACTCCCTTCGTGTGTCTTAATGGGAACGAGACAGTTGGCGGGAAAGCAAGGAAAATGTGTAATCTTGGTGGGCGGGAGAGTTCCACCTGGGGGGTGGAGGAGGCTGGAGGCGTTGGCTAGCGGTAGTTAATGCTTTCTCTCTTGTCTTGAATGGCGCCTTAATTCGTCCTCTTTGTTGTGCTACAAACCCATTGTGATTCTGCTCTCGTCTGCCTGTATGCAAATTAGCTCTCGGGTTCACTCGCGGCCTTGAAAGAGCACGGGAAATTTGAATTTGAATTTATTAACCGTTAGTTTACCAACGCGTTGTAAATAATATAGGCTCTCCTTTCTTGTGTTGCATTCAGTTGTTCCTGTTCAGCAACAAAGTGGCAAGATGATAGAATGAGTGGGCGTCTAGTTACTATTTGTGCCTGCAGGATCCAGCTGTTAGCGTTTGTACTTTTCTAACCGTCGGTTCTTGACTCAAAATTAAGGAGCCATGGTTCGATCCTCGGTCCAGAACTCCAGATCCATTCCTGCTAGCAACAGAAGCTGCTCTCTCTATTATGTTAATGGTGGCCTGTGTGTGTGTGTGTGTGTGTGTGTGTGTGTGTGTGTGTGTGTGTGTGTGTGTGCAGCAGCACCGGTAATAGGCCAAGAGTGCTTCATCAACTATAGAAAGCATGTGGGAAGCGGAGCAGCCTCTCTCTCTCTCACATGTGAGATCAGCCCCTTTCTCTCTCTCCCTTATCCAGTGGATAAGGGAGAGAGAACTACAAAGTTTATTCAAAACTTTGTTTACCACCTATTTCAGACCAATCCTGGAGTATGCAGCTCCAGCCTTGAGTCTAATTATAGTTAAAAACAAGACAGAGAGATGAATCAGAGATATGCCACCAGACTAGCCCAGAGCTGAGAGGTTTGAGTTACGAGTAAAGACTACGGGAATTAAATCTCATGTCCCTGAAAGACAGAAGAGTTAGAGAAGACTTAATCACTAGCTACACAATTCTCAGAGGAATTCACAGGGTAGACAAAGACAAATTATTTAGCATGGGCGGAACACGAACAAGGAGACACAAGTGGAAGCTTAGTACCCTAATGAGCCACAGCGACATTAGAAATAACAGATGGAATGCATTAAGCAGTGATGTGGTGGAGGCAGACTCCATACACAGTTTCAAATGCAGATATGATAGAGCCCAATAGGCTCAGGATTCTGTACACCAGTTGTTTGACAGTGGAGAGGCGGCAGCAAAGAGCTGAAGCTCAACCCCCAGCAAGCACAACTAGGTGAGTACATTCTCTCCACTCCACCCCTCACACTCACCCGTAATGTTCAGGAAATTAACGAGGCGCGGCATGGTGCAACAATCGACCCATTTTCAGTACTCTAAACACGGCTCTCCAAACTGTTCACTTCGAGGACCACATCGTCTATTTCACACATTTTCGCCGGCCACCAAAGAAAACAAAATCAGCTTTTATAAGGCAATGAATGAGTTTTATTTCGATGTTTTCGGAAATGATATATAATTAGTCAAAATGTCAGATCTTAACAAATGCTCCAACGTAAGAATTATTTAATCTGCGGATGAGAAAAGCAGGCTATTCATTTTGTATTTTATTGGCAGAAATTTGACACATGTTTACCTGATATGGGAATTTACACAATATTATTGTAAAGTTGGAGATTTTAATATTATTACTACTAGGTTGATATTATCTGGGTCATCGTATCCGGGTCCTGGTGCGCCGGGAGAGAGGGAGTACAGTGGTGAGCCTTTGGGGGCTTAAGGCTTAGTATAGGGGGGCTCGTGTCTGCATGTATTGGCGGGAACATGTTATGGCGTCGACTCTCCGGGCTCCTGGCGTCGACTCTCCGGGCTCCGGGTGTCGAGCATTCGACAACCAGCTGTATACTCTGCGTGGTCGCGGGCAGGGATTAAGGAACGAACAGTGTGGGTGTTTAAGTCGGGTATTAAAGCGAATGTCCTGGCTTTGACGACAGGTGTCAAGGAACAGACTTTCCGGGGTCGGGAACAGATTATCTGGGTTCATCCTATTCCCTTCCTCATGCTTGTCCTTATTTATATTTTCCAGTCTATTCCAATGCTTTAGTTTCTCCGTATCTTCCTCCTACACTTCCCCCTTGCCTCTTCATGTTCCGTTATCTCCTCCTTTCATCTCCCATCTCCCTCCTCTTCTGCCTCCATCTCCTCATCCTCCCTCCCTCCCCCCACTCCTCGTTCTTCGCTAATCCTAATCCTCCTCTTCCTGGCCCAGCTTTTTCCACACCTGGTGAGGCATGAGAGTGAGTTTAGTAGGTGGGCTTGGCGGTAATGTGGGTGCAGCGGGTCAGCGCTGGGGTCATGGGCATGCAAATGAGGAAGCGCGGGAGAGGACTGCAAGACAAGCACGGAAGATGGAAGTGGATGAGGGAAGGAAGAAAGGGGATGGGGGAGGAAGGAAAAGGAAGGTGGTCGAGTGGTGAAGGGGAGGAGGTGGAATAGAGTGAGACAGTGCACGAACAACGAGGATGTATTGATACTGACAGACAAACGGGACCGTCACTAGAAATATCCTGACTATTGCTTTACCGTCTCTTTTTGTGAAGTGGAGCTTTGTTCATCAGTTCTTACTGTCTACGGAATGATATCAAGGCAGTCTTCTGATGATTGATGAAGATTAAGCCACCCAAGAGGTGGCACAGGCATGAATAGCCCATAAAGGGCTTCATATGCAGGCGATGAGTCACAATAACGTGGGTGAAGTATGTAATCGAAGTATGTAAGTATACTTTTAAAGTAAGAAGTATGAATCGACTTGAGGATGGTCCAGGACGGACCAAAACGTCGTCGTCCCTTCACCTTCTAGTGTGTGGTTTGATCAGCAGTCTTCATATTGTAATACCGGAAATACTGTGAATGGAAGGCTATTTTGACAGGTCATTGTTGCCTTGGCACTGTGAACCTGACCGACCAAATACTAGATGTCGCATCATTATTGCATGTTGTCGCTGCAGCTGTGTTACATGCAGGTTCAGCGGTGCTCAAATGCTGCGGTAGTTGCAGTTGTGTTGCATATCGTAGCTCCGTCTGTTTTACATGTTGCGGCGGCGTTGAATATGGTAGTTGAGGCAGTGTTTCATGCAATAGTCGCAGCAGGGTTGAGGGTGGTGCAGTAGACGTGACTCTGGTGTGTGTGTATATATATATATATATATATATATATATATATATATATATATATATATATATATATATATATATATATATATATATATATATATATATATATTATATATGGCGTGTTGGATATATTTAAAAACTACACATTCTTTTTGTTCATCATGCTCTACTTCCACCAGTGTGTAAACAATTACTTGAACTGTCGAAGGATTATAGTGGCGACCTTTGACCCCTAGCGGAGAGTCCCTCGGATACTCTCTCGTGGTCTTTTAGTCTCAATTTTAGCCATTTTGATTTCATAGTGTAATATCGTTGGTCATAGCATGTGACACCACACATCATGGGAGTGGTAGACATGCACCATGCACCATGGGAGCTACAAGTGTGGCACTGTACACCATGGGAGTAGCAGACACGCAACGGAACTACGAGTACAATGGCAAATGTTTGGTTAGGAAATTGCATCGAACTGCACGTCAACAAGAGCTGCTTCTGGAGGATAAAGGCGGGTGAGAGGAAGAGAGTAAATAGACGGCAGAGAGAGAAATCTTGAGGATGGTGGAGATAGAGAAGGTGGGGAAAATAAAACAAAAGGAGGGATTCGCGTGTATGTAAACACCCGCATCTGTTCTGTACTGTTCGGACCACTAAATGTTCGTCGAAGATCAGGTAAGGAGAACAATGTGAACACCAGCGTGAGAGGGCAGCATCCCACACCGAGTGATCTCCACCTTTAGCATCCTCGCAGGAGTTGTGCGTGGAGATAGAGCCTTCGCTGGCCACTCTGCCTCGAGGGCTGGCTTTGTTCTGGGTCGTCACGTTGGCTTCCGGACACAGGCTTTGGTGAGATAGGGAGATAGCGCACGGGGCGGCGATGGTGACGATGGTGGTGGCGGGAGAGCGCAGGCGCCTCACCTGGAGAGTGAGGGGAGAGGTAGGTGAGGTGAGGTAGTCAGGAGAGCAGGACGCGCCAGTTGCTGCCGGTTCCTGCAGACGGAGCTAGTCGATATCGCCGCTCTGCGTCCCCACCACTGGCTCTGTGATCACCCACTTCCCTGCTCCCTCTGCTGGCTGTACCCACACGTCAGATCCCCCTCGCCTCCAGCCCTCTCTCGTTCCTCTTAATTTTTAAATCACAACAGCCATTTGCGGTGATGGCTCGTCGAGACGCACATCGTCTTGAAGAAACATAGTACACTCTCTTAATAACATTGAGCCTGGTAGCGATATCAAAACCAACAAGTGAGGAACGTCAGAAAAAGCCCGCGAAAGTTAGCAGGGGGCGACGGAATCAGCATCACAAGTAGCAGTTCAGTTCCCGGGCCGAGATCAACAGGCAGAGGCGGAGGATGGTAGAGCAGGTGGCGAGGGGCGAGCTAACATGGTGATCACGACACCTCCAGGCTAGTAGAGGAGTTGACCAATGTTGCGGCTGACGTCTGAACCCAATAAAGTCGTAATCCATCCGCACAAGATGTTCGCCTCCAGACGCAAGAGCCTGCCAGACCCCTCAGCCCTATCTTCGTTATCTGGCACTCGTAACACTAAGCGACGCGCCTCCAATGGCTTCCTCAACCCAGGTACCTTTAGATGTCTCACCCTTGTCACAGCCCTGGTACCCCTTTGATGTCTACCCCTTGGTATAACCCTGGTACCCCGTTGATGTCTCAGCCTTGTCACAGCCCTCATACCCCGTTGATGTCTACCCCCCATGTCACAGCCCTGGTATCCCGTTGATGTCTACCCCCCTTGCCACAGCCCTGGTACCCCGTTGATGTCTACCCCCCTTGTCACAGCCCTGGTACCCCGTTGATGTCTACCCCCTTGTCACAGCCCTGGTACCCCGTTGATGTCTACCCTCATGTCACAGCCCTGGTACCCCGTTGATGTCTACCCCCCTTGTCACAGCCCTGGTACCCCGTTGATGTCTACCCCCCTTGTCACAGCCCTGGTACCCCGTTGATGTCTACCCCCCTTGTCACAGCCCTGGTACCCCGTTGATGTCTCAGCCTTGTCAACGCCCTGGTACATCATGTTGTCTTGACTTTGGGCACTTGTATATTTGCTTCAGTGTACGTTCCCTCAGGCGCCCAACAGGTGCTTGGTAACACAACACCACTGGGGTCGCCCGACCGGCTCCCTGATTCTGTTGGTATTAGCAAGCTAGCTAGCGACTCTTCTCTCCAGTGTGAATTTGGCCCACTGTATCATAGTTCTTGCTTGTTCTACATATTGCAGATGAGGAAATAACATGATTGATGGCCGTTTGTGTAGGGCTTATACTTGTGTTTCTGAGACTATTGGACGAGATGAGGTAAAACAGCTTGTAGAAGCAAAATTAAAATGGTATCTAACCGTATATATATATATATATATATATATATATATATATATATATATATATATATATATATATATATATATATATATATATATATATATATATATATATATATATATATATATATATATATATATATATATATATATATATATATATATATATATATATATATATATATATATATATATATATATATATATATATATATATATATATATATATATATGTCGTACCTAGTAGCCAGAACGCACTTCTCAGCCTACTATGCAAGGCCCGATTTGCCTAGTAAGCCAAGTTTTCATGAAATAATGTTTTTTCGACTACCTAACCTACCTAACCTAACCTAACCTAACTTTTTCGACTACCTAACCTACCTAACCTAACCTAACCTAACTTTTTCGGCTACCTAACCGAACCTTACCTATAAAGATAGGTTAGGTTAGGTTAGGTAGGGTTGGTTAGGTTCGGTCATATATCTACGTTTATTTTACCTCCAATAAAAAAAAATTGACCTCATACATAATGAAATGAGTAGCTTTATCATCTCATAAGAAAAAAATTAGAGAAAATATATTAATTCAGGAAAACTTGGCTTATTAGGCAAATCGGGCCTTGCATAGTAGGCTGAGAAGTGCGTTCTGGCTACTAGGTACGACATATATATATATATATATTTAATATGAGACTTGTTTCAAAACTTGTCATATCGGATAAAGCAAATTATATATGTATTGTCAAACAAATAGTAAACATATATATTGGCTCTTTAGAGAGAGGCGTGATATAAATTTCCCCGGTTACAATTGCTCAGTTTAAAGGGCATGTGTGACGTCACAATGACATCAGTGTTGACGTGTTTATCGTCATTAAACCATAACAGTGACTGGGGAAACTGCACTAATCACTGATAGACTCCTGACGTGAAGGCTCTTCAATGTATACTCACCTAGTTCAACTCTGGCTCTTTGGTCCCGCCTCTCAACTGTCAATCAACTGGTGTACAGATTCCCGAGCCTATTAGACTATCATATCTACATTTGAAATTTTGTATGGAGTCAACCTCCACCACATCATTGCCTAATACATTCCATTTGTTAACTGCTCTGAGGCTAAAAAGTTCTTTCTAATATATCTTATAGCTCATTTGGGTACTGAGTTTCCACTTGTGCGTGTGCCCCCTATGTTAAATAAATTGTCTATCTACCCTATCAATTCCTCTGAGAATCTTGTATGTGGTGATCATGTCTCCCTTAACTCTTCTTTCCTCCAGCTACGTGAGGTTTAGTTCCCTTAGTATCTCCTCGTAGCTCGTGTGTGTGTGTATTTACCTAGTTGTGCTAGCAGAAGTTGAGCTCTGTTCTTTCGGCTCGCCTCTCAACTGTCAATCAACTGATTAACCACCCTCACCCCCCGAGGAAGCAACCTAACAGCTGTCTAATTCCCAGGTACCTATTTACTGCTAGGTAACGGGCTAGTTATCAGGGTGAAAGAAACTCTGCCCATTTGTTTCTGCCATCACCGAGGATCGAACCCGGACCCTAGGATTACGAGCGCAGAGCGCTGTCCACTTAGCTGTCAGGTCCTCTAACACTGTGTGTGTAGGTGTAGGTAGCGGGGGGGGGGGGCCTTATGGTTTCATTCCCACTTAAGAAATAGCATAATCGAGCTTGTTTTGTTTTATATTATCTTATAAAAAGGAGAATATTAGTTTTACACTGAAACCCAATAATGAACAACACAATGCAGGGTCTGTGTTCGATCCCCTGTGGTCTAAGTGGTTGTGGACCGTTTCTTCCTTGTCCTCATATTTCAGCTCTTATCCTGTCCTTATATCTCAATTCATTTTCCCGTCTCCATGCCCCTTCCAAGTGTTCTTTAGTCATGGCCAAGTGTTTTTTCTTCATAATTGCCTCGTCTTGTTGCCCAGTAAACAAATGTAAGTGAAAATTATGATCTGTGTTTCAAAAAAATACTATTTTCTTAGCAATATATCGCGATTTATAAAAAAAAAAATATAATGCATTTTTTCAATACATCTCAGTTGTAGGCACGTCATAAAAGGTATTCTGGCGCGTAAACAAAGATTTAAAAAATGGGTTATGATAACGTGAGGAATGTGAGTATAATGAGGCACTCCAAACATGAGAGCCTCGGTGATTATCACAAGCCCTCTCCACACATTTTGACGGACATCCCCTCCACCCTCCCCCTCCCAAATTGTTCAGTGTTGAATTATGTCCAAATACAGTATCACACCACCCCCACCCCTCACCCTCCCTAACACTCTCTCCTTCCATCAATTACCTAGTCCACCAAAACAACTCCCCTTCCACCTAGTCCAGGATAACAACCCTGCAACCCGTTCTCGCAAATTCGTAAAGTCAATATTGACTTATTAACTACGTGCATAGGTGATATACTAAACATAATAGATACCCTTAAAAAGATTCATAGAAAACACCGACCTTACCTAACCTTGTTAGTATCTTAAGATAAGCATCTTATTGCTTCGTAATTACAATTATTACTTAACCTATACCTATTATAGGTTAGGTAATAATTGTAATTACGAAGCAATAAGATGCTTATCTTAAGATACTAACAAGGTTAGGTAAGGTCGGTGTTTTCTATGAATCTTTTTAAGGGTATCTATTATGTTAAGTATGTCACCTATGCACATATTTAATAAGTCAATATTGACTTATTAAATTTGCGAGAACGGGTTGCACCCTCTCCACCTGGCTCCTCCGCTTCACCACCCTCCCGCTACTAAAAATACACCCCCGATGACCGGAAAGGCAAGTCGATGAATTGAATGCATTTTCCGCGAATAACGAAGAGCTGCTGGTATGATCGATCGGTTTTGCTGAGGTGGCGAGTCCGTCCATCCGTCTGTTCGCTCGTCCGTCTGTCCACTCGTCCGCCTGTCCACTCGTCCGTCCGCACTTGGAAACAAGGCAGCGATGCTTGGCAACGCCACAGGAACGTCTCAATCCATTGGGTACAACGTCTTATCACCTTTAATTTCTCTCCTTAGACAACCGCCCCCATGACGGGGGACCTCGACCGTTGCTCCCTCATTCTCTCCTTCCCTCACGGCCTTTACCCTTCTATTCCCCCCCCCCCCCCCTCCTTTTTTTCACCTCTCCCTTTTTCCTCCCCCTCCCAGCGCGACATTTATAACTCTTGGTACGATATACCTTTTTTTTTTGTCCCTAAAATACATTTTTTTTTTATCTCTTGGGTACTATTGCGATGTATTCTCGCATTCACTGATATTTGACGTACACGATTTTCAGTGCAATTTCGAGTACGCTGGTTCTCTAGTACACTGTTGGAGCTGTGTGTTGGGCTCTTATTCCCGAGTTGGACTTTATGTTGAGGTTGGACTAAATGGCTTTATCCCTTGAAGGTGAAAGCCATTTAGTTTACTTACACAGCTTTAACTGTTAAATGCGGATACCTTTTTTACGACATCAAGAGTACAGACTCTGGAGCTCTGTGGTCCTCCTCCACCTCCAGCTTCCTCGAGTGTGAAGATTCAAGTTGCATCGTACACCAAGCCGGTTCGCCAACGGAATTTAAATCCTCCGTTACCCAACCCAGCCGAGGTTAACACAGCCTATCCTGTCGCTTCCTAACCTAACAAAAGTAGCGTGTTATTATGACTTTGTCTTAGGTAAATAATTTATTTTAAGTTTGTGTGGAGTAACTTGACAATAAATGTATAAACATTTATGAATAAAATATCAGAATATGTATACGGGTTTGGAAAAAACCTACTGGGAAAAAAGTCTACTGAAAAAAAATGTTTGACGAATCGCAACATTTGACCATAACTTGAGTTTGATAATACCATGGCAGGGTGGACTCAAGCCAGCTTTCCCGCGTGTTCCGGACCCCGGTCTCCACTGGTCTCTGCTCGTCTCCATCGGTCTCCACCGATCTCCACTGGTATTTGGACTTCCAGTTATTCGTTCGTTTAATGGAAGTATGATTGGTATGCTTTGGATAAAATCATAATTAACAATGACAAATTAAACTTGTACATATACATAATTATAAAAAGGGTACCACCTCTGGTGCAGTTGTGGGGACTCAGAGCTTCGGAGAAGGAAATCAAGAACATTTTAAAGAAAATCTTGTCGTTTGACTTTAAACACGTAGGCATATTTGCTACCACCCATTATTATTATTAATGTTATTATATTATACACGGTTGCACATTTGCAAAAC